GTGGCGACGGTTGTGGTCGTCGTGGTCACCGTGTTTTGCCGCGGTGGTCGAGGTCGTTGTGGTAGGTAGGCTGGGCGCCCTGTTTGGCTCGACGGGGGCGATGCGGTAGAGGACGGCAATGCCCAGGCAACTGAGAACGCGATCCAGCTTGTAAAGACCGCAGGGTCTGGGTTGAAGATTTTTCGAGGGGGTGTTGGGAGGCTCTCCTTTTTCTGCTTCCCGAAATGAGGAGGGGGACGAAGAGCAGGGAGGGGAGGATGACGCCGATGACGATGATGCTGACGAGAATGTCAACGACGACGATGTTGTGGATGATGATGAGCTGGTGTTGAACATGATGATGATGATGATGCTGATGATGCTGATGATGCCTATTCTGACTATGCTGATGCTGATGATGAGCTGCTGCTGATGATGATGATGCTGTTGGCGATTACGATGATCATGATGCTGCAATTGATAATGGTGATGGTGATGGTGAGGGTGATGATGCTAATGACGATTCTGAGGATGATGGTTCTAATGACGATGCTAACGATGCCGCTGGCGATGCTGCTGCTGATGCTGATGCTGATGCTAAGGTGGATGCTGATGATGATGATGATGATGATGATGATGCCGGTGACGATGTTGCTGCTGATGATGCTAATGATGACGACGAGTTGATGATGATGATGATGATGCTGATGATGTTGGTAATGGTGCTGTTGATGATGATGCTGCTGATGATGATGCTGGTGATGATGTTGATGCTGATGCTGATGATGATTATGCTGGTGATGATGATGCTGTTGCTGTTGATGATGATGATGATGCTGATGATGCTGATGATGATGCTGCTGCTGCAGATGATGATGTTGCTGCTGATGCTGCTGTTTTTGCCGGTGGTGATGTTGATGCCGAGGATGGCGAGGTTGATGCTGCTGCTGATGATTATGCTGATGGTGATGACGGTGATGCTGATGATGATGATGATGATGATGATGATGGCGATGATGATGATGATGATGAGGATGCTGCTGATGATGCTGATGCTGCTGATGATGATGATGATGGTGCTGCTGTTGATGGTGTTGCTGTTGATGGTGTTGCTGCTTATTCTGCTGCTGATGTTGCTGGTGATGACGATGCCGCGGATGGCGAGGCTGACGACGACGCCGATGACGATGATGATGACGCTGCTGTTGCTGCTGACGATGATGATGCCGATGATGATGATGATGACGATGCTGACGTTGACGATGACGATGCTGCTGATGGTTATGGTAATGCTGATGCTGCTGATGGCGATGACGACCATGCGGATGATTATGCTGCTGTTAATACTGATTGTGCTGATGCTGGTGATGATGGTGATGCTGCTGCTGATGATGATGATGACGTCGACGACGACGATGTCGATGGCCATGGGGTTGCTGATACTGATGATGATGGCGACGCTGGTGGTGCGGCTGACGATACGTATGATGAGTAGGACGGTGATTGTTTATGAGGCCCGTGTTGCTGATGCTGCTGATGCTGCTCATGATGATGCTGACGATGCTGATGCTGCTGCTGGCGATTATGATGGTGCTGCCGATGATGATGATGATGATGATGATGATGATGATGATGATGATGATGATGATGATGATGATGATGCTGATGATGATGATGATGATGATGATGCTGACGCTGCTGCTGATGCTGACTATGACGATGATGCTGATGATGATGATGATGATGATGGTGATAATGACGGCGACGATGCTGATGATAGTGACGACAATGATGCTGATGCCGATGATGCTGATTACGACGATGAGTCTGATGATGCTGATGGTGCTGCTGATGATGATCATGATGACGATGGTGGCAATGATGATGATGATGCTGACGAGGATGATGCTGATGATGCTGATGGAGATGATTATGATGATGACGCTGCTGCTGATGCTGATGCTGCTGATGATGCTGCTGATGATGATGATGATGATGATGCTGGGGCTGATGCTGCTGATGATGATGCTGATGGTGATGATGATGCTGATGATGACGATGAGGTTGATGATGATGATGATGATGATGATGATGATGCTGGTGATGATGATGATGATGATGATGATGATGATGATGATGATGATGATGATGAAGGTGATGAGGACGAGGCGGAGGAGGATGAGGAGGAGGAGGGCGAGGCGGAGGAGTAGGATGATGATGCTGATGATGACGATGCTGTTGTTGATGATGATGCTGCTGCTGATGATGATGATGATGATGATGATGATGATGAAGGTGAGGATGAGGCACACGTGGGTGGTGAGCACGGACCTGGGGGCTCTAGGGGGGACAGGGGATGGTGTTGCTGGGCTAGAGGGCGATGAGCAGGGGGTCATGATGATGCTGATAATGCTGATGCTACAGTTGTTGGCGAGTAGGAGGGCGGCGAGAATCAGAGGGGGTTATTATGATGAGGAGGATTATGAGGACTCCGGGGTTGTGTTGGTCACTGGGAGGGCGAGGAGCGGGGGGAGGAGGAGCAGTGGATGATCTTGATGTTGATACGTATGATGAGGATGAAGTGCAGGTTGTTGGCGAGTGGGGGTGTGAGACGCCCAGGGAATACTATCGGGAGGTGGGGGAGGAGGACGGGGATGAGCTGGGGGAAGAGGATGTATACCAGGCCCTCGGAAGTTGGATACTAGCGAAGCGCAGGGGGACGATGGTGGTGGTGATGCTGTCGATTGCGATGACGACGATGATGGTGGTGATGTTCTGGTGATGATTACTATGACGACGCTGCTGCTGAACATGGCGGTGATGAGACGGAGGAGGACGAGTAAGGAAGACGATAAGGAGGAAATTGATGGTGAGTGAGAGTGCGAGAACCCGATGCTGAGGATGAGGACGTTCATGATGACGCGAATGACGAATTGGAGGAGGAGGATGATGAGGAGGAGGAGGAGGAGGAGGTTGTTGGTGAGTGGGAGCGTGAGGCGCAGGGGGATGGTGGTGATGGTGATGGCGACAGTGGTGGCGATTATGGTGATGATGACGATGACGATGGCGATGACGATGACAATGGCGACGACGATATTGTTGATGTTGTTGTTATTGTTGTTGTTGTGGTTGTGGTTGTGGTTGTGATGGTTGTGATGGTTGTGGTTGTTGTTGTTGTTGTTGCTGTTGTTGTTGTGTGGTTGTTGATGTTGTTGTTGTCGTCGTGGTTGTGGTCGTTGTTGTAGCCGTTGTCGTTGTGGTGGTTGTTGTTGCTGTTGTTGCTGCTGCTGTTGTTGTTGTTGTTGTTGTTGATGCTGGAGTCTGTGATGGTGACTGTGATTGTTACTGTGATGATGACAGTGATGGTGATGGTGATGATGCTGAGTATGGTGATGCTGATGCTGATTATGATGAGTCGGGCGGGCGTTAATGGGGGGTGGCCCCAATTGGGGGTGAAGAGAAGAGCCCCAAAGGGGCCCTTTGGGGCCCCTTCTGGAGCCGTTGGTGCCCAAAACGGGCCCTGAAAGGCTCCAGGTAGGGTGCTTCTCTTCACCCCCCATTTTGGGTCACCCCCCAGTACCGCCCACTCGAACGGGGTTGAGGGTGGTGGTGATGGTGATGGTGATGGGGATGATGCTGCTGCTGATGATAATTATGATGACGCTGATGCTGATGATGATGATGATGATGACGACGATGATGATGATGATGATGATGCTGCTGAGGATGATGATGCTGACGATGATGGTGATGCTGATGCTGATGACGATGTTGATGCTGCTGATGATGCTGGTGATGGTGATGCTGCTGCTGATGAGGATGATGATGCTGATGATGCTGCTGCTGCTGATGATGATAATGGCGCTGATGCTGATGATGACGAGGATGATGATGATGATGATGATGATGATGATATTGATGATAATTCTGATGATAATTCTGATGATAATGATGATGATTCTGATGATAATGATGATGATGATCATGATGATGACCATGATGCTGATGATGCTGATGATGATGATGATGATCATGATGATGACCATGATGATGATGATGATGATGATGATGAAGATGACGATGCTGATGATGATGATGATGATGCTGGTAATGATTATGATGATGCTGATGATGATGATGTTGATGATGATGATGCTGACGCTGACGATGATGATGCTGATGATGATGGTGATGATGGATGATGATGCTGATGATGATGATGATGACGATGATGCTGCTGATGATGATTATGATGATGATGCTGATGCTGATGCTGATGATGATACTGATGCTGATGCTGATGATGCTGCTGTTGATGATAATGGATGATAATGCGGATGATGCTGTTGATGATGATGATGATGATGATGATGATGATGATGATGATGATGATGATGAAGATGAAGATGAAAATGAAGATGAAGATGAAGATGATGATGATGATGATGATGATGATGATGATGATGATGATGATGCTGATGATGCTGTTGATGCTGATGCTGATGCTGATGCTGCTGCTGATGACGATGATGATGCTGATGCTGATGCTGCTGATGCTGATGCTGATGATGATGATGATGATGATGACGATGATGATGATGATGATGATGATGAGATGATGATGATGATGATGATGATGATGATGATGATGATGATGATGATGATGCTGATGATGATGATGATGATGATGATGCTGATGCTGATGATGATGATGATGATGATGATGATGATGATGATGATGATGTGATGATGATGATGATGCTGATGCCGATGCTGATGCTGATGCTGATGCTGCTGCTGCTGCTGCTGCTGCTGATGATGATGATGATGATGATGATGATGATGATGATGATGATGATGATGATGATGAGGATGAGGATGAGGATGAGGATGATGAGGATGATGAGGATGATGAGGTTGATGGTGTGGGCGAGGAGTGGGAAGCTGTCCATGAGCAGTAGCCGCAGGACGACGGGACGGAGGGGGCCTGGGACGCGGTTGTCCCGCCCCGCGGCCCGCAGGAGCCCCAGGAGGAGGTGGTGAGCTGCCCCTCCGCGGGGGGGTGCAGGGCGCGCGGCGCCGCGGGGCGGGGCCGCTGCGGGGCGGCGCCTCCGGACGGCCCCGCTGGACGGCACTCGTCGCTGGGCTTCGGGGCGCCCCCGGCGCCGGCCCGCGGCAGTGCGGCGACGATGGGGGCGCAGGCAAAGGGGGGTTGGGCGTTCATGGGGTTGTCGACCGCAGCGTTCCTCGAAGGTTTTGCGGGGGATTTTTGGGAGGCTTTCGGGGCCCGGGGGTGGGTTTTCCTAAGCAGTGCGGTGCCGCGCGTGCCTCGTCGGGCGCGCTCTGGGGGTGCGGGGGTCGTGTGGATCGGCCGCCAGAGGCCCGAGTTGTTGCCCAACAGGGGGGTCAGCGCCAGCGGGGGCCGGTCAATGCCCCCCTGGGTCGCTGTGGTCGACCCAGGTCTGGGGAGGAGCCGTGCGGAGCTGGCCCCCCTCCCCCCTCTCCGCTGGCCCAGGCTGGGGAGCTCCTTCGTGGCTTCGTGGCCGCTCTGTTTGACCTGGGCTAGCGCTGACCCTGGGCAGAGCGTCCGTCCCCCAGGCGAGAGGGGGGCGGGCACTCATCAGGCTGGCATATTTTCTTGTGCGGCGGCATCGGAGCAAGAGTTCCGACAGCATTGGATGCCCAGCGCGCTCGGCATCCGAGGCTGCAGTAGCGGTAGCAAATCTCCTCGGGCCTGCTCTGCTGTCCACCTCGTCGTGCAGGGCCGTCTGGTCCTCGCTGCTGAACGTCTCGCTGTCTTCCGACTTCAGTGCCGCGGGCCGTGGGGTGTCCAGCCCAGGTCGGGCAAAGCGCAGACCACAGCCCTCGTGACGCCTGTGACTCCCCATCATCGGTGCTGCGCCTCCGTCTTCGCTACCTCTGCCACCACGCTCGGCCAGATCAGCTTGGCTTTCTTTTACATTTCTTCGCAGCCGATGATGTGCGTACAGGGGTCCAACAGCTCACACCTTGTAGGAATGATCTGCTCGAGGAAGAGACCCTCGATGCAGCATCACTCTGACTACTCCGCAGCATGCGCATAGCCCTCCCCACGTGTCGATCAGCAAGTGCGACTCACTTCGCGTGCTTGCCTTGGCAGCCCGCTGTGTTACCCATGTCGATCCCTAGGTCGGGAACCTGCTGCTTTACCTTGACCGTGATGATGCGGCTGTGAACTTCAGCGCTATTCGTTGTATTGCCTCCTTGTAATTGCCTATCTTGGCGGATTGTATGGACATCACGAGCTTCGCCTTCTTGACGCCTGCTATGACATCCACTCCTGCGTTAGACAGCTGCTTGATCACGACTGCCTTCGAATCCTCTATCATCATCGTGACGTCGTCGACACACGACCGCACATACACGTGCATGAACTTGCCGATCACCCGCTCCAGAAATGCGTGCAGTGCCACTCTGCCGAAGTCTATGCCACGCCTCGTACTGGCACATATCGACCTATCTGGATCGATCGGCTTCGCGTAGGCCGTCCTCTCCTTGATGACCCTCGCGCTCAGGTGACTCAGCATCTCGAGATTTCGCGTGCGTGCGGGCAACCCTAGCCGACGCCCCTCGTCCAGGATGAGGAGCGGCACCAGCGTGTCGTAGAACCCATCGAGGTCCCACAGCACCGTCGCCGTGTAGATCTTCTGCGGCACCCACTCGACGACCTCGTCCGCGAAAACACGAACGAGAGTTCCTTCAGGGCGCTGTTACCTGCGATGGCCGCATCCCACTTGCCCGCCATCGCCGTGACCCACTAGTTGGTATACTTGCTGCCGCAGCTCTCCCCTGGCACTTGGCGGTAACCACTTGAAAGCCAGCGTGCCCATCTGCTCGCCTCCCTTATCCTTACTCTTCGCCATCGTGTCGATGGCTTATCCAGGTCGTCCTGCATGATGGGCGCCCAGTTTTCCACTGCTGCCTCCTTCGTATGCTTCAGCACCTTGAACAGCTTGACTCGGGGTGGTGCTCTTCCACTTCTTGGCCTACTACTGTCCTTTCTCGTCCACGCGCTCTACCATTCTGCTTGCTGCCCTGTCGTTGGTGCGAATCTCGTTGTCGCACCGCGGCTTGTCCTTGGTCTTTCGGTGTATTTTGCCCGATCCTTTGGCCTCCTGCTCGTGCACCCAGTTAGTTTATGTGACCAGCGCCTCCTTCACCTCCAGCTGCTTGCCCTTCCTCCCCGTGGTGAGGGCCGATTTGCCGAGGCTCCGAAGCTGCCTCGCTGTCATAGTGGGTACGCCGTGCAAGGCTGTCCTCGTTGAGGGAGCTTGGAGGGAGGGTTAATTCCAACATCGTTGATGATTTTTGGGTTTACACTGGTGCTCCTCCTCCTCCTCCTCCTCCTCCTCCTCCTCCTCCTCCCTGAGCTTGAACAAAAAATTAAAAGGTGGGCACACATCGGGACCGGCCCGCCCTCGCAGAGGTGGCGCGACGGAGGTGGCACGAGTAGTGGCGCGGATCTGGGGGCGCTCGGGGCGCTGGATTGGGAGGTAGCGGGGGGGGAGGAGCGGCAGGACGGGGAGGGCGGGATGGGAGACGAGGAGGAGGAGGAGGAGGAGGTGGAGGAGGAGGAGGAAGAGGAGGAGGTGGAGGAGGAGGAGGTGGAGGAGGAGGAGGAGGGGAAAGAGGAGGAGGAGGAGGAGGAGGAGGAGGAGGAGGAGGAGGAGGAGGGATGATGCTGCTGCTGCTGCTGCTGATGGCAACGACGAGGCGATAACGATGGCGATGACGATGATGATGACGATGATGGTGCTGATGAGGATGCTGATTCTGATGATGCTGCTGCTTATGATGATGATGATGATTATTATTATTATTACGATGATGATGCTGATGATGCTGATACTGATGCTGATGATGATGATGATGATGATGATGATGTTGCTGTTGATGGTGATGATGATGCTGCTGTTGCTGATGATGATGGTGGTGGTGAGGACGATGATGATGCTGGTGGTGGGGATGATGATGATGATGATGATGATGATGATGATGATGATGATGATGATGATGATGATGATGATGATGATGATGATGATGATGATGATGATGATGATGATCGTGCTGATGATGCTGCTGCTGATGATGATAAGGATGCTGCTGCCGCGCTGATGGTGATGGTGATGCTGATGCTTATTATGATGAATCAGATGCTGATACTCGTGCTGATGCTGATGCTGCTGCAGCAGCTGATGATGATCATTCTGATGCTGATAAGGTTGACGACGATGATACTGCTGTTGCTGCTGATGCTGATGCTGATGATGCTGCTGCTGATGACGATGATGATGGGCACGCTGAGCCTGATCATGCTGCTGCTGATGATGATGAGGATGATTGTGGTGGTGGTGGTGGTGGTGATGATGATGATGATGATGATTATGCTGGTGGTGGTGATGATGATGATGCTGCTGATGATGCTGCTGATGATGAGGATGGTGGTGTTGGTGATGACGGCTACGACGCTGATGAGGATGGTGATGTTGATGACGATGCTGATGCTGATGCTGATGCTGATGCTGATGCTGATGCTGATGTGGTTGCTGCTGCTGATGATGGTGGTGGTGGTGGTGATGTTGAGGGTGCTGATGTGGTTGATGATGGTTATCCGTAAGGGCTTCGCCCCACATGCCGCCGGCCCACCTCTCTTAGAATGGGATTTGCCAGAGCTGTGTTGGGATGTCTGGACGCTGTCGTGAAGCGATGTCGGGACTTCACACGAGGGCCAATATTCATGTATGGCTTCGGAGGGGCGAATATTATGTAATTTGCGATGGTTCATGGCTTCGGGGACGCGAGTATGGTATAATTTACGAAGGTTTGTGGCCTCGGGGACGCAAATACTTGGCAATTTGCACGGATTTATGGCCTCGCGGACGCGAATCTGGTGTAATTTGCAAAGGCTTGTGGCCACGGATGGCCCTGGGGACGCGAGCAGTGTATAATTTATAAAGGTTTATGGTTTCAGGGGCGCGAGTACGATGTAATTTGCTGAGGTTTATGGCCTCGGGGGCGCGACTACTGTGTACTTTGCGAAGGGTTGTGGCCTCGGGTTCGCGAATATTGTAGTGGCCTCCGGCCAGCGTCGCCGATCCGGGACGCTTCCGTTGCTGCCGGAAGCGCACGATGGCGGTCATGACCGGCGACGGCGGCGAGCGGTGAGGATGACGATGGGGACTGGGAATGGAGGCAGCGGGGTGAGGAGGAGGAGGAGGAGGAGGAGGAGGAGGAGGAGGAGGAGGAGGAGGAGGAGGAGGAGGAGGAGGGAGGAGAAGGAGGAGGAGGATCATCATGAGGTGGGGGGGGGTGGAGGGGGGAGGAGCAGGAGTAGCAGGATGCTGAGGATGAGGGGGAGCAGGAGGGAGCGGGAAGGGGAAGAGGGGGAGGGGGAGAAGGAGGATCATATCGATGATGAGGAGATTTTCGGCGGTTGTTGGAGATGGTCGGCGGTTGTTGGGAAGGATTCTTTGGGGCCAGTTGTTGGCCCTCTTTGGGTTGACACCTCGCCGAATGCTCTTTGGGGCCACTCTTGGTTTCGGAGAAATCGTCCCTGAGGGAGCGAGTCTTTAAGCGACAGCGAAATGGCCCCCCCACGGTCTGCCGGGCGAAGCAATGGCGGTGTCGTCGAGCTTTGTCGTCGTCGTCGTCGTTGTTGTCGTCGTCGTCGTCGTCGTCGTTGGTCGTCCTCGTGCAGCGGGGTCAGCTTTTCGCCCCGGGCCCGTTTTTGCCGGGCCCGCGGAGGCCCGACAGAGCTCTTCGGCCATCCCGGACACCCGCAGAAACCACAACCAAACATTTTTTGTAAGGTTTTTTTTTTCGCCAGCGCGACGCTGCACGTGCCTGTGCAAAACACATACTCCCAGCGATGTTGTTTCAAGACTCGCTTCCTCAGGGGTCACGTCTCTGACTTTATTCCCGACCTAGGCTCTGCCTAGAAGGGTTCTTGCTCTCTTGGTTTGAAGGGGCCGGGCAGTGGAAATCGCCCCGGGCGGTTCCCCCAGTCCCCTGGGAGCCAAGCGCAAGCAACAGCAAAGGTAAAAACAAACGCGCGGTTCCCCCAGTTGCGCTCCGTTGGGTGCCAAGCAAAAGCAAGCGCAAAAACAAAAGTGAAGGCAACATCGAAGGCAAAGCAAACGCATAGCATAGCATAGCATAGCATAGCGCAGCAT